TAATAAGATTAAAACAAATGAACATGCTTCCTAATCTAGATAAAACCAATTTTAATAAATGTGAAACATGTATTGAAGCAAAGCATGTTATAACTCACTTCAAATATGTTACTTCTAAACAAACTGAACTTTAGAGTTAGTTCATACAGACTTAGCAGACTTTAGAAATACAGAGAGTAAATGGGGGGAAAATATTATATCACTTTTGTTGATGATTACCCTATATTTTCTAAAGTTTACCTTTTATGGTCTAAAGATGACGTAGAAAAAATCTTTTTAGTGTATAAAGAAGAAGTAGATAACCAATTTGATAAAAAAAATAAAAAGAATTAGATCCGATAGGGGAGAATATATGTCTAATCTTCTTAAAGAAACTTGTGAGAAAGAATGCATAATTAGATCCGATAGGGGAGGAGAATGTATGGCTAATCTTCTTAAAGAAACTTGTGAGAAAGAATGCCTTGTTCCTGAGTTTTCTACCCCTTACACTCCATAGCAAAATGGCATAGCTGAAAGAAAAAATATAACTTTAAAAAAATGATGAATGCTCTTTTACTTAGCTATAGTTTATCTGATAATATGTGGGGAAACCGTACTTTCTGCTAATCATATTCTTAATATAATGCCTCATAAAATGTTAGATTGTACCCAATATGAATTATGGAAAGGTCATGCTCCTAATTTAGATTATCTAAAAGTGTAAGGGTGCCTAGAAAAAGTAGGGTTGCCTGCTTTTAAAAGGAACATGTTTGGTTCTAAAACTATTAATGTTGTGTTTATTGGTTGTGCTTTAAATAGTGTTGGTAACAAATTTATGCTTTTTCATGATTATTCAATATGTGAATCTAGAGCTGTAGTATTCTTTGAAAATGTTTTTCCTCTTAAAAAGCACAGTAATCATGATTTAAAATTAGACGAGAATATATCTTTTTTTGGGAAATTTTCTAGAGATAATCAAAATGATAGTGAACCTAGAATGAGTAAAAGACAAAAGGTAGCAACTAGTTTTAGACATGACTTCCTTAATTCTTTCATAATTGATATTAATGATTTGGACTCAAATAGTTATTCTAGATAAATATCCAAAAAAACATATGATGAAGCTATTAGTTCCATTGATGCTAGTTTTTGGAGAGATACTACTAAAGATGAATTAGATTTCATTTTATCTAATCATACTTGGGAGTTAGTAAACTTGCCTAAAGATTGTAAACCTATAAGTAATAAACGTGTCTTTAGAAAGAAGTTTAGACCAGGTGGATCTATAGAAAGATATAAGGCAAGACTAGTCGTAAAAGGCTTTTATCAAAAGTTTAGGATTGAGTTTTTTATACATATTCTAATGTTACTAAAATATGTACTATTCGTGTTTTGTTTGCTTTAGATTCCATTCACAACTTTTTGAAACACCAGATTGATGTGAAGACAACCTTTTTTGAATGGTAATTTAGATGAAGAGATTTACATGGAGTAACCTCTAGAATTCAAGGCACCTGGGAAGGAAAATAAAGTTTGCAGACTCAAAAAATCTTTATATGGTCTCAAATAAGCTCCGAAAAAATGGTATAAGAAATTTCATAAAACTATTCTCATTTATGGTTTTATAGTTAATGGTTCATATGTATGTGTGCATTATAAAATGTTTGGATCTAACTTTGTTATCATAAGTCTATATGTAGATGACTTATTGATTTTTAGTACACATCTAAAAGACATTAAAGAGACTACAGATTTTTTATTCACTAAGTTTGAAATGAATGATTTGGGAGAAGTTAGTGTAATTTTAGGGGTAAAAGTGACTAAATCAGATAAGGGATACTAGTTAAACCAGACTCATTACATAGAGAAAATTTTGAAAAAGTTTAACAGTTTTGATGTGATCCCTATAAGTTCCCCTTATGATCCTAGCATTCAACTAAAAAATAATAAGTAGAATAGTATATCATAATCTAATTATGCAAAGATTACTAGAAGCCTAATGTTCTTAATGAACTATACAGGACATGATATTGTTTATGTTGTTAGTAGGTTAAGTAGATATACTCACAATCCTAGTGGTCAACATTGGAAAGCTCTTAATCGTGTACTTAGCATAAAGGCACAATAAATTATGAACTTAAATTCGTTGGATACCCTATAGTCCTTGAAGGATATTGCGATGCAAATTAGGTAACTGAAAATGATAAAGTAAGTTCCATTAGTAGATATATTTTCACTTTTGGTAAAGCAACAATTTCCTAAAAATCTGTAAAGCAAACGTGTATTGCTCGCTCCACCATGGAATTAGAGATCATTTCTCTTGATTTAGTTAGGCAAGAGGCTGAGTAGCTTAGGAATATACTTGGGTGGTCCTAGTGAGACGGACTTGATGGGTATACCAGTTTATGAGGTTGAGTTTTATACTCTTAATGAATTCATAGCCTAAGTTTGTGGGTGGTCATAATGAGACGGACTTGATGAATTCACTGAATTTATAAATGAGAGGTTCAACTTAGTAAAAGCTCTTAATGATTTTATAGCCCTAATTCGAATGGTTTATATTGATATAGACTTGATAAAATTAGCTACGTAAGTGTGAAGGAATAGCCACCTTCTATGAATGACTTGGGTCATCTTTCTAGAGCACTTATGAGCATCCTGAGGTATTAGATGGACAAAAATTAACTATCACAAAACTCAAATAGATCTGAGATTAGTCGTGTGTTATGAGTTAACCCTAATCTTAATAAGTTCAAGATTCATTCACTTGTTAAAGAGAAGAATTACTCATTCCACTATATACTAGTTCAAATCTAACATATACTAGTGCTTAAGCAACTAATTTCGTTGTTGTTTTTCCCTTTTAATTCGTTTGCATATTTCTTTGCATTAGTGGGTGATTGTTATATATATATATATAATGCAAAGAAATAAGAATATAAATATGTTTTTATTCAATTTTAAATTTAAAATTAATTAAAATTAAAATGGGAGAAGTTGAGATCTTTGCATATTTTTTTTGTTGATTTTTCTCCTAAAAATTTTACCTAAATGCCTTGATTTTTTAGCTTTAAAAGCATGCTCTCTCCTTCATTTTCAATTCGTTCATTTCTTCATTCCCCTCTCTTCTTCTATAGTTTCTCTCTTCACAATCATGGTGAAGTTTTTCTTTTTTTCAGTGGCCTTTGATATTTTATCTTGTAGAATTTACTTCGGATAAAATATTTTCCTTTCTTACAGAAAAGAGAAACACTATGCAAAGTTCCACTTCCTTATTTCAGGTGTACAAAATTCAGAAGACTATGTGTTAACCTTGGGGGCAACGTCCATTTTTAGGGATTACACTAGTATTGGCAAAATTGTTTCAAAGGCAGTGACTACACGGCACAGTAAAATTACTTGGTCTTCATTTATTTATCTTTATTTTTCCAATCAGTTCTAATCTTTCGTTTTACAGTAAGTTATTTTTCCAACAATTACAACATTTCAATCGAAAATACTTAGAGCCTCTCTTTCTCTATAGTCTTTTCACCTTCTGAGCATCTTCTCCTCTACTTTTTAGTCTATTGAACTTCACAGCTCGCTTCTCATGTTCTAGATTATGTCTTTGTCATTTTCAATTAAAAAAACTAAATATTATTCAAGTCATGCTCTCAATTTCAGTTAAAGACGGACACACGAGCTTATGTTAAGGGGATGAACTTTTAAGATTGTAGAAGAGAATAAGCTTATTAAAATTTAAATGGCGAAAATAGATAATTAACAGAAAATATAAATAAATTTCTAAAATATACGATAATTTAAATTTTTCATGAACAAAAGATAAAATTAAAGAAAGTAATATCAATAATGTCTTTTAGTATGAAGATCTAAAAGGGGAGGTTTACACGTGCAATCCCACGGAGTATAAACAACACAAGGAGGGCGCATAGTAAACGTACTGTTATGCGCCTTCCTTAAGATAGCTTGCCTCAAATCCAAATCATCGGCCACATATAGTTTTCCACTAAAACTCGATACACTATCCAAATTAAATCCAAAATCACCCCAACTCGTGAATTTTCTTTTCAAATAATCTACTTCCATATGCTTATCAACAAAATGGGCATAACATGAATTGAAACCCACATCCATCCTCATTTCAATCCGCTCGGCCATCAAACACGCCAATCGAATATCTGTGGCTTGAACCCTTGCATATTTCTGTTAAGTACACGAAACTAGAGATTAATTCATTTTGTTGAACCCTAACCCATGGTGACCAATTGGTGGTTGATGATAGAAATAGAATGAGCACTGGAAGATTAAATTCCATTTTGATAAACCGCTTAAATAAATGTTCTTGTATATTTTATGTATCACTATTATTATTTATGTTTCGATGGTATTATTGAGCATGAGATAATTGATATGGAATCATTTTATCCACTACTGTTTAAACTTATTGGTTGTACTAGTTAAATGAATGCATGATTTCAGTTAAATGGTTTTGTTTGAGTCTCAGTGCATGCTAATTGTGTATTCTATATTTGAAACACGTCAATTAGGTTATTTAACCAAATTGAGGCTAAAATTTAAAGGTGAGCGCATTAATTTTATGCACATAGCATAGCCAGAAGAAGCATGTACCATTGCTTTAACTTTTACTAGTGCCAAGAAGCTCTGAATCGATCCGGTAGAAACCGCCGGTGCTACGGTTGGGTACTAGCCCAACGTAGAACCATCTCAAGCATCAACTAAAGATCATTGAACTTGTAGTAGCTTATATTTGCATAAACTGGTCATCCATCGACTGTTCAAGCTAGTTGAAGTTGGCCTGAAGCTTAGCCACTTGCTGTTATAGTTTGATTAGAGTGAATGCAAATTTTCCAGTATTGTTCAAATATAGGGTTTCTGCGAATGAAGAAACTTATAGCTGCTCCAAACAACCTTGAAAGTACATCTTTAAATGCTTTGTTCTATTAACTGAAACACACAAACTATCCTAAAGCTTAAATAGGTTCAATATGGGTTGAAGTAAACACGTTTCTTGAGATAATTAATTCCTTTTCATAATTCTCACCCAATAAAGCTTTCAGCATAAACAGTCCTAGAATAAAATTTAGGCAAGACACTTTGATTTCTTGACCTTTCGGCTTTCAACTTTTTTCCGTGCAGCTTTGAATTCGTCATCAGTGGGTTCAGAATCTGCATTACCCCCATATTTGGACACCAGTGACGAAAACATGGAATCAAAGTGATCTTTCCTCTCACTTCTGCGCTGAGATATGATTGCAAATAGATCTGATTCTGATTTCGACTGTTTAGTTGACCTGTTAAACACCAAAGAAATGCCAAATATTTCTACATCAGAACAAAGTCAAATATCTTTAAATGAAAGGAAAAGACCCCAGCGCAACACTCACTTCTTTCTTCTCAAGGGACTGGTAGGTGGCTTAATTTCAGATACTTTCTTTTCCCATTTCCGATAGGCTTTGGTTCCTTTCAATTCTCCTAAAAAAGAAGAGGAAAATCACGGAAATATCCCCATCAACTACAAGCTGTAAGAATTTAATAGGCCTAAGAATTATGCACACCCTGATTTTGGTAAGTTCAGGTCTCTATGGTAGAATAGAAGTGGAACAATACTTATGCTACATTTAATTGCACTTCCCAGACAGAAAACTGATAATGCAGCTTGCTTTAAAAAAAAGTTGGAAGAAAGCCTCACCAGCAGCTATTGCCTCATCAAGCAAATCCTTGAAACGGTGTGAGTCAAGCTTAGGATCTGAACAAAGCATTGAACAGAAGAGCCTGCCAAGGGGGCAACAGATTAGAAATGATTGGAAAAGCGTAAAGGAAACACACACACACTTATATATACACAAATTGCCCCTCTTACTTATTCATATTGCCCTTGCACTTCTTATAAAGATCGATTAAATCTTTCTTCTCTGATTCAGATCCCCTATAGTTTGCTTCAAACTCTTCAATATCAGCCTCAGTGACCTGGTGTTGATTAAACAATGAAATGGAACTAAAAGCCAAAATTCCAAAGGAAAGAGGAGTCAACAAAGAATGCTACCATTTTGTACATTGCCCTGAAAAAGGTTTTCAAATTCTCAACAACATCCCCGGCAAGGTCCTGATCAACAAATTAATAGAAACAAGTTAGAAAATGCTCCATTAGTAAAGAAATAAATTGGGCATGGCAGACTGATTAATGTTAGAATTGCTAGTACAACAGTAAGTCTTGTGAAATGCAGTTTTCAATCAAAAGGTAACAGACATATCCTAGAAGTAACATGTAACCCTAAATTTATATTACTTGGACTCGTGTAAATGTCTAAACATGTAACATGCGACACAAGTATTTTTGAACATTTAAAAATGTTTTCCATTAATTTGAAGGGGCATTGAATGATCAATATCCTCATACTTGTTGGACGCATGTATCAAACATGAGTACTTCAAGCAAAACAAAGATTCAGTTTAAAATAGCCCTGAACTGCGTTAACTCACAGCATCATCAACACAACCAGTTTGATCGTAGACTGCCCGTTTCTCCTTATCGCCAAGAATGGATATCACCTTTTGCAATTGCTGAAATTTCTCTTTAGCTTCCTGTGTATGAAGGGAATCATAACTTAACCTTATACTCTTCCATGAATAATCACATGCAGAAACAGAAAGAAACCCTAACTTAGACACACAAATGAACTTCAGCTTTTACCTCATCACCAGGATTTTTATCAGGATGCAGTTTAAGGGCCAACTTATAATATGCTTTCTTAATATCCTGCTGAGATGCTGTCTTCTCAACGCCGAGAACCTACGAGCAATCAGTCATTGTTAGGCCTCTTTGCTCAAATTTCCCATGGAAACGACAATAGAGAAAACCACCCAAAAAACTTAATAATTCACTTGGAATGAAGCAAAGAAATATTTTTGAGATGTCACATTGAACCCAAAAAAATAAAATTGAAACTCAAACCCTCATATGTGCATAATTTCAACCATTTCATTTGTTTTCTAACATAAATGGTTTCTAACTTCTAATCTAAGCCAAACAAATCATTTCTCAAGAAAACGAACAAAGACAAAGAACCACTAAACTTTGTCACGTGCAACAAATAACACATTAACCCTAAATTCCAAATCAAAATATCATATAATTAAAATTTTAGGGGGAGAAACCTCATATAAGCTCTTTCCGTTTGAAGAAGAGTGGTTTTCCACTTCTTCCTCTTCCTCGTCGCGTGAAACCCTAGATTTCTTTCTCTTTCCCATTCTATCCAAATTAAAGAAAGTAACAATTTCTTTTTTAGTTTCGAATTTTTCTTCTTAATGTGTTTCTTATGGAAGAGAACACAAGGAATTTGGGGTTTGGGGAAGTGTGTTGGTTTGTGAATTTATAGAGTAGGTTTCGAGCTTTGATTCCTTCCCGCCATTTCGGTTTTAATTTTCCCCCATTTTCCCGCTGGTTGAGGATCTGCTTTGGACAACTAAGTTGCACAGATATGGACGAAGAAATAAATACTCTATTTTTTCCCCACAATTAAAGGATAAAATGGGTTTTCTAAGCACTTTGAAAAACAAATATTAGAACAATAGAATTTTGATACTGAAGTGAGTCAATTAACTTTTTGGATTCGAATAATAAGTTTCTATAAAAATTAAATTCTAAATAAAACCTTATATATTGATTTATCTATATCTTTCTTATTTTAATCTTAAAAATAATCTTGAGTATGATCGTGAAATTCAAACATCGTCCCAATATATTTTTAAAAAATATGTTTTTATAAAATGAAAATATATTTCATTACTTTGAACAATTAATTCATTATTGCATAAATAAATCATAAAAATGATTAAATTTTGTGAAAATATATTATTTTTATTATATTATTAAGAAAACACCTTAAATACAGCCAAAAGAGAATAAATATAACAAAATTATGCATGTATGATACATAACTTGATTTTGAATAGTAAATAAATAAAAAAGAATTATATATTATTTTATTATTAGATTGAGATTGAAGAAGACTAAAAATTAAAGAATATTTGATAAATCGAAGAGTAAGATTTGAAAAAAGAGAAAAACATGATTAAATTTAATTCAAAATTAAATGAATAAAAAGAGAGTAAAAAACTAAACAATTTATGAAATTATAAAAATTAGGGGTTCTAATTATAAATATAAAAAATGGTTAAATTTAAATTTAAAATTAAAAGAATTAATAAGAAAAATGAAAAAGAGGATAAAAACTAAAATTTTTATGAAATTATAAAAATTAGGGACCTAATTATAAATATAAAAAATTAAGGACCCTAATTATAAATATAAGAAAAATTGGAGGGCCTGAGTGGCTGCTCTGGGTGCTCCCCTTTTAGCCGACCCTCATAAAAATAAGTAGTTAAACTATGTTCTTTTTTTGCTATAGGTACTTCAACTACTTTTTGGTCAAATTAGATATTTAAATTATTACATTTAATTATTTGAAGACATAATATTTTTTTCAGTTAAAAATTATTTTTTTATCAATAAGATGTTGATACGTCGTACAAAATTAAGTATTTGTTTTGATCAAAAATATTTTAGGGACTTAAAGAAAAATTGGATATAATTTAAGGACTTATTTTAATTAAATAATAATTAAGATACTTAAAAGTTATTAGTTTTATAAAAAAAATTAAATGCCTAAAACAAAAAATAACATAATTTAAATACTTTATTTTAGTTTAAGCCTAAAAATTCAAAAATATATTTGATGTGCAAAAAGATATGCCTTACAAATGCCAAGGCACTGGCAATTTATAGGAAATGAAGAGACTAGGCCGAATAAACATGTATTGGTTCGGCTAGGCACTTTCTTGAATAAATACAATGCTTGAAATGAAAAATTACAATGCTAGGATGATGTAAAGGGATGGCAATGGTTTGACTAGGCTTTGGTTCTTTTCCTAACCTAATGTTGATGATGTTTTGGCCTTGGTGTGTTTAAATGAATGGTGTAGAAGCCTTGGTCGAATGGTTATGTTACTCTTCATATTTTGGTGCCCAAATGAGTAGTGTAGAGTACATGGTCGAATGGTGAGAAACCCCTTGGAGTTTGGCGCCCTTATTTGAATTCAAAAGAAGTCACATGCTTGTTTAATGAATGCACATGGCTCCTTGATCAAGTGTGCTCTTCCATGCCTTGTAGTATGTATCCTCGGCCACATGACTTGCACATGATGCGTTTGGTGGCTTGTTAAGTAAGCTAGTACCTTAGTAAGCTAGCTAAGCGAGTGAGTAGCTTAACTAGGCACCTAGTGTCACTCCAACTACCATCAGCTACCTTGAGTCCTCAGCTACTGTTCAACTACCATTCAGCTACTGCTCAGCTACCTAAGCTACCTTCCAGATAGTGTCAGTTGTCTTATTGGTTCCGTGAGCTAAAGTGAGTTAATTTGAGCTGTAGTGAGTTTCCTTAAGTTCATGTTGAGCTGGTGTGAGCTTCCACAAGTTGAGTGAGCTTCCAATGAGCTGGCAAAAAGCTTCCAAACATCCATAACACCTACGAAGGCAATGAAAACATAAGGATAAGTTGTAAAACATAGGTAAATGGATGTTATACATATGATCACCTAAGTATGAGCTAATAATGACTTCAAATGCATAAGATGAGCTAGGATATAATGTGTATGAATTTCATGAGCTAATATATGATGCACAATCATAAAATAGGCTAATTAAATATATGAAATGCATGTCGATTGTGAGTAAAGTATATTATATCATAAATATCAATATATATAACATAATATACATGCAATTGAGCATTCCAATGACATTATCATGTTAGGTTTATGAAAATAAGTAAAGAAATGTAAGAATAAGATAATGAAAACTCTCTGGTCCTTGATGAATTCCACACTAGAAGAAAGTAAAATGAAAAGTAAAAGGTGTAGAACTAGGATCATATCACACGAGTCTCCTCCAACGTGGATACATTTTTCATAGAATGTAATTTAATATTTAAATTAATGGCCTCATGTTCTACGCAATGCGAGATTCTTGAGATATTGAAACGTTTTGGCAAATTATCTTATTTGGTATTTTGCATACCACACATTATACAAAACGCGAGGTATGCAGGTTTCCATACCAAATCACAAGTGTTTATAGGCTCATTCGAGGGGTATTTTCGAGTAGTTATTCTAAAAATTTTGTAATTTATAAGATTAGAGGCGTATTGGAATTTATCTTTCAGTTGAGACCAATATCGACACATACGAGATATTATAAGTGGGTTAAAATCATGTTGAAAATGGTTCCAAATCTTGTTTTGTGAATGAACAAAAATGTCAAAATGGTTTGATAGGTATATTTGAGGGGGGGTTTTGGGTAGTATTGTAACTTATCTTTCAATTTAGGGTAATATTGGAACATATGAAACATTGTAAGCAGGGGCAAAATCGTGTTCAAAATGGTTCCAAAGCTTGGTTTTCTACATGAATAAGAAGCTAACATGGCTTGATAGGCATGTTCAGGGAGTATTTTCGAGAAATTAGTCTGCAACTTTTCTTCATTTATAAGATTAGAGGCATAGTATTTATACTTATGTTTCAATTGAGGCTAGTATCGACACATACGAGACATTCTAAGTGGTGCAAAAATCACGTTCAAAATGGTTTGAAACTAAAAAAATATTGAAAACTAACAAATTTATTTTGTTAATTACAAAAGTAGTACATAATTTTGGCTCTCCAATTCTTTCTGTATGTTCGAAAAAATCCTAGTCATATAATTAAAATAACATAACAATAACATAACAATAAATATAATAACAAAAATTAAAATAACATAATTTCAATATTAGAAAATACAATTGCATAATTATAGTACATAAATTGCAAACAAAGTAATGTTTTCTGATGTGTTTGTTCTTATTTTTTATGGAACGAGAAGTTTCCCGAATATTCCATGTACAAGGGAAGTCCTAGGTTTTTGAGTGGGTTTGATGAAAAGAGAAGTTTCTCTAATTTCATGTGCAAGGGAAGCCATGAGTTCTTGACTGAATGTGTGTCATTTGTCAAATCAACGTAACAAGTTATAAGAAAATGATGCCACCAAAAGATGAAGTCTTTTTAGAAACAATAAGTTTCTTGAGAAGATCAGATTACTCATGTTAAAGAAGGCTCATAAAATCGACGGGTTTGATAGAGAGTGAATCGAGCATAAAAATGGAATTCAGAAATTATGCCCACGACTGCAACAACAGCCTTGTCCATTCAATTACTTATTTTTCCGCATCTACGACCGGTTTTATGGAAGAAGAGGATGCCACCATAATAAGATGCCTTTTTAGAAATGATAAGTTTCTATAGAAGATAGGTTACTTGCGTTGAAGAAGGTTGAAGAGACCAGTGGGTTTGACGGAGAGTAAATCAGACACCCTCCAATGACTTTTTTATTTGGATTAATGGTCGATTTGAGGATTTTAATAGAAAATAATGCCTTTTAAGGGTGTTATTAAATGAAAACCCACCATGTTCATGTAAAAGACTATTTTGATGAAACAAGAAGTTTCTCGATAAGGTCATGTTTGACGGAAGAAATGTGAAAGATTTACCCATAAATTTCAAAAGGTGATATCCTTATAAAAGGCATCCTTTTCGGGTTGCATAACTTATAGCATCGATGTTGACCTAAGAATCTCTAAATTTCATGCCAAGTTGTGCAACCAAAAGAAGAGCCCCTTATAAGTAGAGACATTGCGTTATTATTTAGAATGTCACCAGAAGAGGATGTCTTATATAGAGAATGATCCCATGCTTTGTAAAATGTGTTTTCCATTGAGATTCCTAACTTGAAAAGACACCTCGTGTTTTGTACAATACGAGATCTATAGAGATTCCTGACGTGACAGCATCCTAGCATACACAGTTGATTTGACATGTCAATGGCCTCGCGTTATAAAAGGCGCATGATTTCATAATAAAATAATCTATAAATATAAACAAAGATGAGTCAGGAATACACAGTTGATTTGACATGTCAATGGCCTAGCATACACAGTTGATTTGACATGTCAATGGCCTCGCGTTAAATTAATGGCAAGATTTTCTGCAACTATATTTAATTATGGAACTTATTTCTACACTCCCTTCAATGCGAAAATCAACAAAGATGAGTTATATGATTTTATTTCAATGGAGCTTAAAAATCTACACCATGACATATTTATTTGTTACAAACAAAAGTTCATGTTGTTGAGCCCGACCCTGAAGCACATTACATGTTGACTTTATCAAATGAAAGTGATCTTCAAAAAATGTTTTGTGATTGCACACGTATAGATGGTATGAACATCGAGTTAACTATAAAATTTAAGGAATAAGCATCTTCATCAAGTAACGCAGAAGCAACTCGGTTATCATAAGACCAAGAGGATAAAGAGGTAGTTCTGTTACATTACGCCCGTAAA